GAGAATGCTTTGCATTGAGTTACTCAGGGTCAGGCTTTGAGGGGCCAAAGATATATAGCTTGCTTACAATGTCTTAGAAAATACACATTGTATTGTGCGCGCGCATGTGTGTGTGTGTGTGTGTGTGTGTATGAGAAGCTTCTTTCCAGACCAGCCATTTTCACAACTATCTGCATTGTTCACCTCCCAGCCTCTTCGTGTAGTTGTGTGTGTTTGGTTGGTTTCATTTGATTTTAAACAGGAGGAAAAAGAAAATGAAGAGAGCAGATAAGATTGCCCTCAGATCAATAGCTCAGCTGGAAATGGACTGAAGGTCAAAGGTCAGCGTATCAATCACCAGATACATTTGGAGGGCCTCCTTTTTAGAAGGTAAGGAAGCCCCTGGGACAGTGAGCGCGAGATGGTTAAGCAGTACCTTCCCGGCTGCTGTAGCCAGGGGGCTGTTGAACGTGTTTCGCAGGAAGTTGCAAGGCAGACTTGTATTTTGCCAACTGCTGACTCTGTTTTCTGCTTCTGTGTGGACGCCATGTTGGTTCTGCAGGAGTCTGTCCCCTCAGCCAGAACTGATTGCCTCAGGGCTGGAGGCCCGATCCAAGCGGGGCCAGTCAGCGTCTCTGTCCTGTGGCATTGCCATTGGCACCAGTTCTGGAGCAGAGGGGACAGAATCTCGGATGGGGCTGGCATCCACGTTGTCTCACTGAGAGAGAGAATAAGACAAGGAGTGTGCGTAGGCGGGAGAGACAAAGAGACAGAGATAGACAGACAGACACCAGTGCCTCCGGAGCACCTCTTGGTGTTCCAGGCCCAGCCTCCGGCCCTGTGGTGCCTAACCGCATTCTTCAGGCAGGGCCAGCTGCACAGCGTGTGGGACTCAGTGCAAAAGGAGATCATGGGGCCCCTTGTTCAAACATTTTTAAGGCTTTCAAGGTGGCATTACCAGAGAATGAAACCAAGTGGGGACCCCTCCCAAGTTGGGGAACTCCTGTACCACTGTGCAGGGTGCGCGCCCACGGAGCCAGCCCTGGGTTTGCGGGCCCCGCAGCCAAAGAACCTTGAACAAGACAGATCTATTGGAAGGGTGGTCTTCCCACCTGAAGGAAAAGTATCTCAAAATTTTTCCTAGAACTGCATCCGAGGGGACAGCCACAGGCAAGGAACGCTTAGAGGGCAGAAAAAGTCCAGGATGATGAAATAAAGTGGGAGAAAAGGCATTCTTAGCGCAGGCACCTAGCAGAGGGCCCTGGGGAAGGGTGGCAGCTGGGAACAAACTCCTTTAAAGGCCATGCTGCTGGGGCAAGTGCAGACACAGCGGGGTCCGGTGGCGGGGGGATGCTCCAGGGTAGAGCAGTGCAGCCCAAGGACCCTCAAGGGGCCTAACACAAGTTCCTGATGATGAAGAAAGGGAGTCCGGACCAGATCAGAACAAAGAGAGAGAGAGTTTCCTCTTTGTCCACTGCAACTAAGGAGCTCACCAGCAGAACGGAGGGGAAGGCTGAAAGTCATCACTGGCCCCTCTCATTAGTATATCTGTCTGCACATCTGCCCTTTGGTGTCTATGTTATGTTTAATTAACCACACAATCAACTGAATGCTGTTCTCATTCTCCGTTGTGAGTTCAAATATTCCCATCCAATCCTTTACAAAACCTCCAGTTAGCAAAAGAGAAGCACCACGCCTCGCTCTCTGAACTGGATCAAGCCCATCTGTGTGTGGCAGCGCAGTTGTTGGAGCTCGAGTGAACGGGAGAGGGGAGCAGCGTCCACAGCAGAGGCTCCCGTGGGGCTTGCCTCTGCTGCCTGGGGAGCAGCTCACATCTCAGGTGCCATGCTGGGGCTGATGGGGGATGAGGGGGCTGGGGGATTGGCTGACCAGGAGCACACCAAGCCTTCATCCCCATGACATGTCACTCCCTTTGTTGCCATCAGTCCTGTCCACGCATCAATTCATTCCTGTTGAGGGCCGTCTTGCAATAATTTGGAATCCACTGAGCAAAATCTCAAGGAAATCACGAGAGTTCTTTCACACCCAGCTGCGGTGTGTCTGTTGCCTTTTCCTGACATATGGCCCTGCAAATCCTTCTGGAAAAGGAAGTAAGTGAGCTGGGGTGAAGCCCTTAGCAGAATGGTTAGGGGACCAGGCTGGGTGGAGAGCAGGTCTGGATGTAAATCACAGCATTTCCACTTAAGGGCTGTGTGACCTTGGTAAGTCACCTAACCTCTCTGAGCCTCAATTTTCCTCAGCTATAACATGGGAATAATAAAATTTCCTATGCTGCAAGGTTGCTGCAAGGATGAGAAAAAGTTATGCGGCCTGCAGTGATGCAAACTGTTGCTGTTGTTATTCTATGCTGGTTCCTAAGGAATGTGAAATACATCTTTTTTGTGTGTTCCTAGGCCATCCATTCCAGAATCTTGCCGGGGGTCGAAAGGAAGGGACTCTTTGGACGTGCTAGCAGGAGCAAGGTTATGGCTGTGTGTGTTGGTGCAAAAAAGTCTTAACATGGCAGGCCCGGGAGGCTCTCCTTAGGAAGGCCGGCGTATAAGGCTGGCCTTTGGCTAGCATCTGAGAACTGGGCACTTGAACTAGTTGTTCCCTGCATTCCATAACTGATAAGGATGTTTTATTATTGTACCAAATCTGTTTGCACACACAGTATCATTTATGCCCAACACCCGTTTTCCTTATGGGAATCTGGAATTTTGGTTTGTGCCAGGCCAAGGGTGCCTCTGAGACCAGGCCCCAGTAAAACCCCGGACCCTGAGCCTCTCACGGGCCTCCGGGGCTGAAACAGTGCTGTGTGTGCTCTGGGTCACCCTGCACGGAAGAGAGGGCACAGGAAGCCTGTGCGTGGATTCCTCTCGACGCCATGTCCCGGTCAGCTGGGGCGGCTATAAGGAAATACCAGAGACTAAGAGGATTAAACAACAGACGTCTATTTCCCGCCGTTTTGGATGCTGAAAATATAAGATCAAGATGGCTCCTGGTAGGGCCTTCTTCCTGGCACGTAGACGGCCACCTTCTCCCTGCGTCCTCACACGGAGGAGAGAGGAGCTGCAGTCTCTTCTTATAAGGACACCAACCTCATCGTGGGAGCCCTACCCTCCTGACCTCATCTGAAGGCCTCAGCTCCAAATGCCATCACATTGTGGGGCAGGGCTGCCACATATAAATTTGGAGGGGACACAACATTCAGTTGATACCACTTCGCCTGTGGGTTTTCCCCTTATAATTTGCTGTGCATCCCGACTCTGTTGCTGAAATAGATCTGAGGCATGAATACAATGATATGCTGAAAATGAGTCCTTTTAGGTGTCTCTGAATGTAGCGGTGGTCCTGAGGGACCCTGACCCAATATGTGTGTGTGAGATTCCTTGCTTTTCATTTCCTTAATGTAGTTATATGACTTTCATAAGGAACAAATAAATATGCTGTTAAATTTTATTGAATGACTGTGAAGCCATGGTGTTATTTCAGTAATAAGATCACGTTCTTGGTGCAGTATCCTTAGTGACAGTTTCCAGCAGCTGCTTGGCTGTGTAGCTTCCTTCCCGACCCTAACCCTTGGCCTCAGCGTCTCTTCCCGGGATGATGAGATTGTCAGAACCCACCCCCCGCCTCTCCTCCTGTGGCTACGGGCAGGAAATGCGGGGGTACCCTGGAGAGAGGCCTCTTCCCTGGAAGGGAACTGAGAGTACACATGTCAAGAAACTAGAACCCCCAAGGGTAGAGAGGAGATTTGGAGCAGCCGTGGAAGGCGCTTCCAGAAACGATACCAAGGTCCTCCGCCACTCCTGGGGAATTCCTCTCAGTAATGCTGAGACGACCGGTCGTTCTTTTCAGAAAGGTCAATGCTTGTGTCACATTCACTGTCCCAGTGATTGTCTTGGTTACGCTCATGAATGAGAGAATCAGAATGGGGTGATTTCAGCAAGCATACTGGACAAAAGGACACTTTGCCAAAAATGCAAATCCAGCAGCCAGATTGCCCATAAATTTGCAAGTTGGTAACACTTTGTGTTTCTTTGTTCAAGTTCTGGCCTGCCTGCTTGGAGGGCATGTTTGTCCAGAGTTTCCAGAACTGGTGAGACGCCGGTTGGGGGCGGGGGCGGGGGGGGGGGGGGGGGGGCGGCGTTCACAGGGGACACCGTGCCTCTCCCAGCCCGCGGAAGTCGTGGATGGAGGGGCGGATGAATGAGAGCGGGAGCCACCGTGGCTGTTAGGATTGCAGCTCAGGACCCCAAAGGACAGCGGGTCGGGTGAAAAAGGGAGAAGAGCGTAGCAGTTAGAACAAGGACTAGGGAGTCAGACTTGGTCCCTCGCCTGTCTTGTCCACGTGAACGTGGGACCTCTCTGAGCAACTGTTTCCTGATCTGTAACATGGTTTCTACTTCAGCGGGCACTGTGAGGGTGGGAGGAGGTGATGCGCACCGCGCACAGGCACTGATGTTAACTACTGGCTCCTCCGCGTCCATCATGATCAAATGCCGAGGGGGCGGCTTTTGTTCCTTCCTATGGCCATAAGGAAGGGCAGAAGGCGGGAACTCATCTATTTCTAGGTCAATAACGTACCTGAAACTTAACATTTTATTTACTCCCAACAAGAATGTTGTGAGGCAAAGCTTTGCAAAACTTAAATGCGTATACCTATTTCCTGGGGCTCTTGTTAAAATGTGGACTCTGACTCGGCAGGTCTGGGGGTGGGGGCTGAGATTCCACATTTCTAACAGATTCTCTGATCATGGTGATGCTGCTGCTCCATGAATACGCTTTGATGACAAGGTAGGCAAGGCCTACTGTGCCCTTTTCACGATGAAAAACTGAGGTTCGGGCGGAAACGCAGGTCCAACTGACTCTAAAACCTGTGCCCCGCTCCCATGCTCCTAAAGGGTTCTCAGGGGCCGGCTCGCATTCTGATTGCCATAGGACAGAATGTAAACCAGAGAAGGGTGGGCAGCATGGATCACGGCAAAGAGAAAGAAGGAGGGGGGCACATTAGAACATTATTGAAGCAGTTCAGGTGGGAGGACATACAGCCCTAGGACAGTGTGTGAAAGAAGGGTGACAGATACAGTGACAGTCTGGGGGCTTTTTTGGACAGAATTGTATGGCTTTGTTAACACAAACACAATGTGCACACAAGCTGTCTCTTCATTTTCTTCGCTGCGCAGCCCGGCGTTGGGATCGGTGACTCTGAAGGCCAGCTGGGCTGCTCTTTCCTCAGTGGCTTTGCAGCTGTGAGAGGAGACGCTGTGAGCAGTCCCAGCACAGTACGATCTGTTGCTCATCGGCAGCACTTGAAGGTCATTGACGCTGTGGACCAGGAACTGCCAAAAGCCACTGGGTAGCATGTGCTTTGTTTTCTTGTTGTGCCCATAACCAGTGTTGGACGTCAAGATCTGGCCCTCGAATCTTCTACACACCCTGTTGTCTATGCCTCTGGGTTTCTGCCAGCTACACTTAATTTTGACATATTGGTCTGACTGGAGCTGGATGAACTTCTTGATCCTCTTTTTGATGATCGTGGGTTTCATGAGGGGCCTGAGGGTGGCCGTCACGCCGAGCAGGAGATGGCCTCCATCTCCATAGGTAGCAGCAAGGAAGAGCCTCAGTGAAGCTTTGCAAGTAGAAACTGGGGTGTGTGGGTAAGGAGGCGAGGAGGCTTTTGGCCGGCGCAGCGTGCAGGGGGGTCAGGAGCAGCGCTGAGTCCAGGGGAGCCGTGTTTGTATTAGTCAGGGTCAGCGGGAAAGGGCCGTCCACCCGAAGTGTTCCTCAAAAAGAATGCAACGAAGGAGCTATTTATGGAGGCTCGGGCAGTGGAGGGAACCGAAACAGGATTGAGAAACCCCCCCAAGCCACAGCAGGGAGCTACTGCCGCCCCTAACCTGAGTGGGGACAGGGGAGAAACTACCAGCACTGCAGCATCAGAAGGAGGTTGACAAAGAAGAGCTGGGGCCATGGTCAAAGAATGAAGCCACTGCCAGAGCAAGCGCAGTGTGGACGGAGCATACGTGCCCTGGCGTCTCTCTCCGCCCAGCTTCTCATCTCCTGCTGTGCTTCCCATTGGCCAAATCCAAGGGAGCCTGAGGGACGAGCTCATGGAGTTCAGCCACCTGGGCCACAGGGTGGGGGTGGATCTGGAGAATACCCAGCATGGCCTTGAATCCCAGATCTGCTGCTTACTAGATGGGTCGACTTGGACCAGAGAGTTATCATCTCTGAGCCTTGGTTTTCATGACTGTAAAGTGGAACATGTAATAGTACCTTTCCCATAAAGTCCTTGCAAACATTCAAAAAGATAATGCACATTCTTTTCTCTTATAATAACTCTCCTGATCAGGAAAGAAGCTTTGGGAAAAGAAAAAGATTTTCTCTCTGATGTTGAGAGCTTAAGACACAGTGGTTCAGCCAGAAGTGTCAGCAGTCCAAGTTGGAGTCCCATTTTCCAAATAAAAAGACCTCCAGGCTTCTGTGACATAGTCCTGACCCAGTCCTGAGTCACTATCCCCACGCTGAAACAACCGTCTCCATTGTGATGGTTTCAATAACGAGCAGAGGCTATGAGAATGCTACTTAATGTGGCTTTGGCTACACCTCATCTGATGACTGCTGGAGAAAGAGCAAAACATTTGCAGTAGACAGGAAGCTGAGAAACTACACCTTGCTCCTGTCACTGTCCTCAGTGGAAGACTCCATCACATTCCCAGATGCACATGCCAGAAACTCAGGAGGCATCCTTGACCATATCCCCTCACCCTAATGTCCAATTCAACACCAGATCCCGTTGATTTTATAAAAGCAGCTCACTTCCATTCCAGGCACTGCAGTCCACGCCCCTGCCATCCTTCACGAGGTTTCCACTCTTCCCATTGGTTATCCATACAGCACCCAGGGTGAGGTCTCTGAAATTCAAATCTTAGCATGTCATGACCTGAGGAAAACTTTCAATGACTTCCCATTGCTCCAAGGACATTTGTCCTATTAGGCCTCTCATTAGCCAGCCTTGTTCATGACTGTGGCCACTTACCCTGACCTGCTCACTCAACTAACACTTGCTTCCTTTCAGTTCCCCAGATACAGCCTCTCTCCTCCTCGAGCCTTCCTGCATCCTGGACTGATTCTCTCTCTCCCTGCATCCTTCCCATCTCTCAAGTTTAACTCCCACTTCCTTGGGGAAGCCCCCTGGCCTCCCGGAGTAGGTCCCATCCTGGGTTACATTTTCTCCTGGCCTTGTTGTATTTCCCTTCGCAGCACTTGCCATTAAGTGATACATGGTTCGATGGGATGTGGCCATTTAGAAAGTTCTGGTGTCAGTAACTATGCCTGCGGTTTGTCACTGCTGAGCATAGTGCCTGGCATATGGTAGGTGCTCCAAGAAACATTTGTCAAATGAATGAATGAATGAAGTAATGATTAAGTGAAATAGGCTCTCCACAGGGAGTCAGAGCCTACAGGCCCTGTCAATCCCCATTTCTTAAAACTTAAAACTCATTGTGTCAGCATACAGAGAGGCTGATACTAGTTTTCTCTTTGGGGGATTTCATACCCAGGGCAGCTTTGGTGTGAAATGAGAGAAATTGCCCACAGACACCACTGTGACTCCTTTATGACTTTTTAAAAAGTCCTAGTCATAAACCACAAGCCCCTGTGCCCTGCACATGGATGTCTTTAAGTCAGCTTGGGAGGCTCTGATCCAGGGGCGGCATTAGCCCTCGCAAATTCGTTCCAAGGTGAGGTGGTGGTGGTGGTTTGGTGGGAATATCAAATCGAGCAGAAAGCAGAAATAGCAAAAGTTAACCTCTGTTAGCACGTACGATGAGCCAGGCACTGCTCTAAGCGCTTCACTCATTTAACACCCACATTATGAGACAGGTCTTACAATCCCCATTTCATAGACAGGCAGACTGAGGCAGTGGAAGGCCTACCCCAGGTCACATAGCCGGTGGGTCTGCAGGGCTTGGCTCCTTGCCCTCTCTCCCCCTTTACCTGGAGGCTCTGCTGTCTCCAGTTGGAGGTGAGTGCTCCCCAACCAGGATTTTTGTCTTTCACTTCAATGCACTTTGACCCTGTTCATGACCCAAACATGCTTCTCCTTTTTTGTGTTTCTTTTCTCTGTAGCAGAGGATGAGTGATTAAGTACATTGATTCCAGGAGCAAATGCCCAAGTGTAAACCCCAGCTCAGACACCCCTGTGTGATTTCAAAGTCAGTTAACCTCTCTGTGCCTCAGTTTCCTCAGATGTAGTACTTGCTATAATGCCTGAAGCTGCCTCATAGAATTGTGGATATGATTAAATGAATCAATGCTGGTGAAGGGCTTGGATCAGTGCCTGACGCAGAGTGAACGTAATTTGTGTGCTTGGTATTACTGTATTTTAAAATAACAACAAACCTCCTTCGTTGGTGTGTTTCAGTGAATTGAGCGCCAGCCTGAGAACCAGAGGGTCACTGGTTTGATTCCAGTTGGGGCACATACCTGGATGGTGGGCCAGGTCCCAGTTGATGTTTCTCTCCTTCTCTTTTTCCCTCCCACACTCTCTCTGTGAAAGTAAACAAATAAAATCTAAAACAGAAAAGAAATGGTTAGAAAAACCTGAATAAACCTATTTGCCCAAAGAACATACCTTGTTTGGAAAATTCTTTTAATTGGTTCCTGGGTGGCCAGACAAGCCACATGCTCTGCTTAGAAGTAGGAGACCCAAGTTCGAGCCTTGGCCCCACCCTTATCAGCTGTGTGGCTTTGCACAAGTTACTAGCTCTTTCTGAGCGCCAGTCCTTACATGTGTGAAATCAGGTGTCATCCTTCCCCACAGGATTTCTAAACATTCAAAAAAAAAAAAAAATACTGGTTCAAAAGAAATGGCTGGACCCAAGAGTCTCTTCTTTATAATCAATTATCTAAGATTCGCACAGGCAAATTAAACAACAGAGGAGTACTCGTGTTTCTCTGAGCTGGGTGCACGCCCCCCCTGGAAAGCCCCGGGAGTCACAAATAGCGCAGCCTCAGAAGTCGCAGCGGCTGTCCTTCCCTGTGTGCCGCCTCGTGGGCCGCCGAGGGCCTGGGACTGCCACCCTCACAGGGCGGCTGGCTGCTGCACTGGAAGAACGTCAGGAACTCGCTGTCCCGGCTCGGTATCCTGGGGGTTCTCCAAGCCTGTGGCCTTCACTGCAAATGCACTGAAACTCCCGTCACTTGTTCCCACTCTGGGGCGTCCCAGGACTTCCTTGAGCTGGAGGTTCAGGAAGGTCTGGGTCTTTGACTGGCTGGGCTGGGGGAGGCTGGGCTGTGTTTTCTCAGAGGGATTAGCGTGAAATTTGCGTCTGCTCCCAGCCTGGCCTGTGCTGCTGAACAAAAGATGGGAGCAGAGCGGCGGGGCCGGCGGGGCTGCAGGAGGTGTGGGGCGGTGGGGACAGGGGAGAACAGGAGAGAAGAGAACCCTCTTCCAAGGGCTGAGATGCTTCTCTGCTCACAAGGCTGGGGGCGGGGGCTGCCCAGGTGAGGGCTGTTGTCTTGTTTCCAAGGTCAGGCTTAGGGGAAGGGGTGGTGGGGACCAGGGCCAATCATGGAATGGGCACCTGTAAGGCGCAGCTCCTGAAAGTGTGGATTGGGGACCACCCACTGGTCAAGGGATGCCTTCCTTAGGTTTCCTGGGCAAATGGTCAGCAATTCCCTGGACTTGCATTTTTATATTCATATGAGGGACGCTCTGTAGTAATGCAAAAGTGAGTTATTAAGGAAAGGTTTTGTAATCATTAAGTTGTATCCGTGGGACAGGGAAAAATATTAGCAAAAAAGCATGTGTGCCCTTCTCCGCCCTTCCAAGTAGGACTGACGGCAGGACCGACTGATCTGCCTGCTCTCACATCTGAATAGTTCTGATGAGGGAGGCGGGTTATGTTTATATGAGAAAAGGCACAGTGAGGAGGTGCGGGAGAGAGGAGAACAGACCCTCCCGGGGAGGGGAGGTGGGGAGAGGAGAGAGCAAGGGTGCTAAGGAGAGAGAGGCTGGGTCAGCGGCTGCTTGTGGTGGGACTTTGGGGACAGACCTGAGCACAGAGGACACTTGTCATGTTGTAGACACCGTTGTTTCTTGAATCTCTTTCCTGTACGTGGAGACACACCCACCTGGTGAGTCCTGAGCTAGAAGCCAAGTTGAACTCTGCCAGTTCACTTCCCCGGGGAACAGGTGCCATTTGGAATTAGACGTGCAAGAGACTTATCGGGTGTGACGCCATGTGTTGGGGCTGGGGAGAGCCTTCTGCCCCAGTGCGGGTCCGATACCCAGGAAAAGGAGAAGTGAAAGGAAGAGGGGTTGAGTGGGAAGTGCCTCAGCCTGTGGGGCGGCAAAGAGGAAGTCTCAGCTAGGCCGACGGGGAAACCCAGAGAAACTCTCTGGAGAAGCCCCAGCGTGGGGTCCGAATAGCTTGCTCCGGCAGCCCTGTCAGGCTCCGCCACTGTCCGGAGGCAGAAACGCTGCTAGGTTCTCCCTCGGAGGGAGAGCCGAGCGGTGCCTCCCCATGGCCACCACAAACCCCAGAGCACAGGGTAGCGCCACAGAGGGCAGGTTCTGGAGACAACAGTCTGTTGCCAGAGCCATGGGTAGAAAAGGTGGGGAGGGCTCCCAGGGTGAGGGTAGCGGGGTGCCCCATGGGGGATGGAAGCAGAAGTGCAGTTTCAAACAGGCTGCCACATGGGCCACTGCCTCTACCTGCAGGTTCTTAAGGCTGCCCCTGGGAGCCACAAGGCCTGGTGTCCTCCCACACAGCAACAGCTTCCGGCTACACATCCATGATACCCAAAGCTGCTGTGCACGAGAACCCCAGATGCCTGGGCTCCGCCTCCCAGAGCTCCTGACTCAGTTGGTCTGGAAACAGCCAGGGTATCAGTTTCCCATGAGAGTCCAACGTGCAACCTGCTGAGAGCTGCTGGTCTACACTAAGAGCGATGGGCAGTTTGATCCTTCGACTCAACTACCTATCGGATCCAGCAGACAGCCTGTCAGCGCAGGTGCGTGTCCGTGCACGTGTCCCAGCTCAGGTGACCTCCAGCACCTGAGCACGGAGGCTCTGGAACCCTCACATTCAGGGCGCCTGACCAAACCGAGATCCTTTAGCGTCCAGTGCCCCATGTTTGTTTTTTTTTTAAAGATTTTATTTAATTTTTTTAGCCAGATGACAAGAGAGGGAGAAAGAGAGGGAGAGAAATACCGCTTGGTTGCCGCTTGCGTATCCCCAGCTGGGGACCTGGCCTGTCGCCCAGGCATGCGCCCTGACTGGGAATCGAACTGGCTGGTGCTCAATCCACTGAGCCACACCAGCCAGGGCCAGTGTTCCATGTTTTAAAAAGCACTACCAGATAAACATCCTTTAATTTGGGGCCAGATCATTCCTGGTAGCCTCTCCTGGGTGTTGGTGCCCCAGTTTATTCCATGAAATTGGCCTGCTGGGAGGTGGGGCCATGTCTCAAGGCCACATCCCCACCCGGCGGAGGTGCTGGGCCTAGAGGCACCTGGCTGCCCCTCCCTGGCCTCAGCTTCCTGGTGAGGGCGAACAGCCCTCAGTGCCGCTGCGCCTGAGGCTGTGAGCACCTGTTTCGGGAATGGAACAGCCTCCCCACCAGCTTACGGGGGACTGAAGTCTCTTAAAGGAGGGCACAGCCTTTCTTCCTCCTAGATGGGAGAGGAGTCTTAACAAACGTAAAACCCCTCAGAGAGCAGTGACTCAAATCCTCAAAGCCATGAGCCAAGAAGCAGACCTCAGTCCAAGGCCTTGGTCCTGGTACCTGTGCATGTGAACTTGTTTGGAAATAGGGTCTTTGTGGATGTGATTAAGGATCTCAAGATGAGTTCATCCTGGATTAGGGGGCGCTAATCCAGGCTTACCCAGAGGAGACCGTGGGACGACGGAGGAGAGATTGGAGCGGTGCATCTACGCGTTCCGTGACACCGAGGGTCACCAGCAGCCACCAGAAGCTGGGAGGGAGGCCTGGAATGGATTTTCCCTTGGAGCCCGAGAGGGACCCAGCTCTGCCACCTCCTCCGTGTCAGACACTGGCCGCTGGGACTGCAAGAATGAGTTTCTATTGTTTTCAGTCACTCAGTTTGTGGTACTTTGTTACAGCAGCCCTGGGAAATAATGCAAGGCCTACTCCAGAAAAATCCAGCTTCAACCCTGGAGACTGATCGCTAACACCGTCTTCTAAAGAAGGGATGGGGCACATAGAGGGCTCAGAGGCACCACGCTCACTTACTGCGTCTCTGCATTTTGACCCTTGGTGAACACTAGGTTGAGGGATGCCCTAGAGCAATGCCTGGTCTTGGGACATCTTGTTAATGCATATCCTGAGTCCAGAGTCTGGGGAAGGCCTGAGGTCCTGCATCCCTAGTAGGCTCCCAGCTCACGCTGCCAGTCCTCTGAGCAGTCAGACCTCAGGGCTGCGCCTGTAAGTGTACCTTGGACCACATGTGTCAGCATCACCTGAGGTTCCTGGCCTATACAACCAGGCTCTCTGGGACAGAGCCCTGGACTCTGTTTCCCCATCTCCCCAGCACAGCCTCGCAACCACTGGGTTTGGGTGCCTGGGGTGGTCAGAGCTGGGGTGGCCAGTGGCTCCTTGGGGAGTCAGAGTCCCTTTCTTATTGGGACTGGGAAAAAAAGCACCCACTTTTTAAAAAAATACTTCATTTATTTCTGTTTCGAGAGGGGTGAAGGAAGGGAGAAAGAGAGGCAGAGAAATATCAATGTGTGAGAGACACATCGATTGGCTGCATCTCACACGCCCCCAACCAGGGGACCCAGCCTGCAACCCAGGCATGTGCCCCAACTGGGAATTGAACTGGCAACCCTTTGGTTTGCAGGCTGGCACTCAGTCCAATGAGCCACACCAGCCAGGGTGCACCCATGTTTTTAAAGAAACTATTCTGTGCCCTGCCCTGTTATAGTAAGACTTGTGTTCATTTAATCATCAGAACAACTCCTGGGATACAACTTTTATTCTTACCCCCATTTTGCAGGTGGGAAACTGAGGCCTAGAGAGGCAAAACATCTTAATGCCCTGCAAACAGAAGCGCACAGTCAGATCTACAGCCAGCTGCCTGGTCACACACTTTGTCCCCACCCCTCACTGGGTCCCAGGAGAGCTCTATTTAAGGCCAGTGCTTCTCAAGCTTTAATGTGTCTTCAAGTCACTTGGTGAAAATGCGGGTCCTGGCTCCCAGGTGGTGACACTGTAGCCCTTAGAGGAAAGCAGCCGTGGCACGGATTAGGAGCCATCTGCTGGGTCCATCTGCAAACATGCACAAGAGATGAAAGACCAGGCCCTCGGGAAGGTGGGCAGGGGCCAGACCGCAGGCAGGCGCCATCCTGCTTTCCAGCCCTTGTAACACCTGGACTCCTGGATCACGGGACCACCAGAGCAATCGAATTACAGAGCAACTGGCATTTAACAGAGCTGAGAGACCCTGCGCACCTGCTAATGGATTTCTTTGAAAATGAAACAGCTGCCCAGTTGCCTCGTTAATCTCATTAGGCACCTGCTTGTAATTACCTTCTCTGAGCAACTCAGTGGCCCCACCTAAGGAGCATGGAAGGAACATTGGAAATACCTGGGACAACAGGACCCATCATTAAAAACAGAATAGGGGGAAGCTGGTGGAGCCCCTTTAAAAAAGGATGCCCTGGGAGGCGTGGGTGGGTGAGCGACTGGGGGTGGCCTGGTGCCTGAGTATGTGTGATTCTGGCTCCCTTTTCCCTCGAAGAATCCTGTTGGAAACTGGGCTGCGCTGAAATCCTCAGGAGTCTGTAGTAACTGGGAAAGACCAGTGTTCTACAAAACTGTGCATTCGGTTTCTTGCCCTTTAAAATCCCTGTCTTTCTAAAGACTTAGGTGCTAAAATGATTTTACTTTATGAAACAGAGGCGGTACTAAATGTGTTACCTTTTAAAAAAACTGTCCTTCGTTGATAAAATAAACCGGCGTCCTTGTTTCAGCCCAGTGACATTTTAAGTAACCTGTGAAACCCACAGATCTGGAAAGCTCAGCATTCAGCCACTGGTGTAAAGATACATGTACAGCTATTAAATGCACTGTTGCACATTAAAGCAAAAGATGGGAAGCGACCAGAATGCTCATTTGTAGGGGGCTGGCTCAATTATAATTCTCAGACATGTTATAAAAATAGAGGTTTGTGTGAGCTCCATAATACAGTACTACATGAAGGAAAAAGACACAAGAAGCTTCTGGCAGTGGCTGCCTCTGGGGAGCCGGACTGGGAACCGGGGTGGAAGGGAGATTTCCTTCGTATCACGTCCTCTCTTGGACTGTTTGAACTTGTTGCTGTGTTCGTGTATTCATGTTTCGACACACAAGTTAATTAACCAAGTGAAGGCCTGGGACCATCGTTAGGTGGAGATGCTGGTTCAGAGGTCCAGAAGGAAATGCTGGCTTGTGGCTGGTGACGTGGGCTTTTGCTTCTTGGCACCTCTGCATAAAGAGAGCTGAGCTGGTGGCTCTTTAAATCCCCAGGCTGGTTTGGATGGAGGCTGTTAGAAAGCACACAGAACTCGGGGTCTACAGCCCTTCTAGGCTCTGGTTCTGAAACTTAAGGTGCATCTGAATTGCTAGGAGGCTCCTTAAAACACAGACGCTGGGTCCCACCCCAGTCTGACCCAGGAGGTCTGCCTGGGGCATGAGGACCTATGTGTCTCACACGCTCCCAGGCAATGCTGAGCTGCTGGTCCAGGACCGCCCATGGAGAACCACAGCTCTGAGGGTTCTAACCCTGGTGCTGAGTACCCACATTTTGCCGTGTATAATGCACACCTATGGTTTTGTGCACGTTATACACAGGATTATTATACCCATTATTATACCCATGTATAATGCTCATCCTTATTTTTTCCTCAAAAGTCTGAGCAAAAGGTGTGCATTATACATGGCAAAATACGGTATTTCTTTCCCCAGGTAACTTGCTAGCCCTTCCCCACGCAGCAACAGGCAGCAGGTGGGGCTTTATGGGCCTGCTAGGCTATGACTAAGGGGAAGCAGAGCAGGGAGTCCAGTCCAGCTGCAGCGGGCATCCTGTGGGAGTGTTAAGAGCCCCCACACCTGAGCCCCACCCCAGACCGGTTATATCGGAATCTTTTGGCTCAGCCATGGGTCGTTTAAAAAACACTGCAGGCGAACTATGAGTATGGACTGTGCATGAGTGTCCTGTGGCTGCCTTAGCAAAGTACCACAGGCTTAAATAAAAATGTATTGTCTCACAATTCTGGAGGCCAGGAGTCCAAATCAAGGTGGCTCTCAGCAGGGTGGGCTCCTCCTGAGGGCCATGAGGGAAGCGTCTGTTCCAGGCCTCTCTTCTGGGCTTGTCGATGGCCCTGCTCTCTGTTTCTTTGCATCATCCTCTCTACATGCATCTGCGTACAATATTTTTTTAAAGATTAAAAAAAAAAAGATTGAATTTTTTTTTTTTTTTTTTTTTTTTTTAGAGAGAGTGGGGAAGGGAGGGAGAAAGAGAGGGAGAGAACTATCGATTGGTTGCATCTCGTACTCCCCAAGCTGGGAACCTGGCCTGCAACCCAGGCATGTGCCCTGACTGGGAATCAAACCGGCAACCCTCCAGCTCACAGGCTGGCACTCAATTCACTGAGCCACACCAGCCAGGGCTTGTCCAGTATTTTAAAATAAGGACACCAGTCATATTGGATTCAGGGCCTCCCTAATCCAATGATCTCATCTGAATTAATTATACCTGCAATGACTCCATTTCCAAATAAGGTCACATTCTGAGGTTCTGGGGATTAGAACTTCAATCTATGAATTTCGGGGAACACAATCCAACAAATACCAAGTCATATAAAGTTTGCTTCTCAAACTGTAATGTGCACATGAATCACTTGGGACCTTAATTAGATGCAGATCCTGTAGGTCAGGGGCGAGGCCTGACACTCTGCGTTTCTAACTGGAGTCCAGACTGGGGATCAGAGTAAGGAATTATTAATTTGGTTAGGTGTGATCATGGTATTGTGGCTGGCTAAGGAAGTGCCATATTTTACACCGGATGCAGACAGACACATTAAGGCTGATGACCATGTTCTTTCAAGTACTCCCACGAACAGTAAGAAAGACAGTGAAGTGTTAGCACTTGTTAAATCTAGGTGTTGGGTGTAAGGAAGTTTGTTTTATTAGTCTGCTTTTCCTCATGTTAGAAATTTTTCATTAAAAAAGGAAACACTTTTCAGGTGACTGTAAGGCACAGTGGGGACTGAGTACATCTGGGATGGACGGGAAGGCAGATGGACGGGGGGGATGGAGGGTGCCTGGGCATCCAGGGCCCGCCCCTGAGCTCTCTAGCTGGGACAATAGCTGTGTGCATCAGCGTCTTCCCTGAGCCAGCATCTTATTTGTCTACCTCTGTCACTTCCTTCTGCTTACCTCTGAGTAAGTTCTGACAGGTATCAGGAAAGGAAGGGGTAGGATTCTGGGACCTGCGCCCACCCCCATCCCCAGCCTGCTTGCTTTACCTGCTCTGTGGGGGACTGAGAACAATTTAGGATTCTGACCTGAAATCTTTGCTTCTATGTCCCCAGCCCTTAGCATAATCCCCAGCACACAGCAGGCACTCAATAAATGCACTGAATAAATGAACAACTGTATACCTACCCTAAAGGCCTGGCCTACTCCAGAGGAGCCAGGCTTGGGGCAGGCGGGTGACCGGTCCCAAATGGCTAAGCTTGGTCTGAACGACTAAGACAGCACTGAAAATAGGATATGAGCCCCATACATTATTCTAAATTCGCTAGTAGCCGCACTTTAACAGTGAAAAGAAATGGGCAACACTAATCTCGATGATATATTATATTTAACCCAATATAGCCAAGGTAGTATTTCAACGTGTCATCTCTATTTAAAAATTATGGAGGGATGA